GGTAGCCTCCGATGTCTCTACTGCCACGCCCACCCCCTCCACCGCATCTGAGGTCTCAGAGGCTACGACAAGCCAAGCGGAGGCTACGCCCCCAACAGACTCTGGCGCAGAACCCCACGAAGTCCCGGACCCCGTCCCGGCCTCTTCCCTCACGACCACAGCCCCCGAACCCGAGCCCGAAGTATCAGCCCGGCTGCTCCCTGAGGCGACGGAGGTCTCTGTCGTCCCCTCCTCTTCTTCTGACTCTTCGTCCCCCTCATCGTCATCCTCGCCCTCCTCCTCATCCGAGAGGCGAGGGTCATTCACCACCAGCTCAGACGTCCCCACCGCTACCAGCCCACTGGACCTCGGGACCCCCAGCGCAGGTGGCGACGCCTCTGCGGGCCCCAGCCGGGACAGCAGCCCTGCCTCCAGCCCTGCTGTGCCGGTTAAGGACCAGAAGAGGAGGGCAGAGGAGCCCCAGGCCCACAGCAGCTTCTCCGAGAAGAGGCCGCGTCTCGATGACCGTCAGTCCTTTCGTAACACAATTGACTGTGTTCACTCCGAGAAGCCCCAGCCCACAGCGGAAGAACCCAAGGTCCCACCTATCCGGGTATGACGTCGTCATTTGTAAGTTGTTTTTCTGGGTTGTGTGTGAAGCCTTAACGCTTGGCTGGAGTCGAAATTGCGCCTAAAGCGGGCAGCTGTGCAGAAACCGCGCTCTTTCACTGTCCTGCACTGGTGGGCGAGATCTTACAAAGAAGCTGTAAAAGAACACCCCCCACCCCATGTGTTGAATGCAAATTGTAGCTACCGTTTGTATGCTTTTTAGAAACCGCTTAATAAAATGCTTTACTCTTTTGCTAGCAATTCAGCCCCTATCTAACGACAAGGAATCCACTGCAGAGCGCCCTTCTAAAAGCTACCGTTGTTTCTCTCTGTCGTCTTTTTCCAAGATTCAGCTCTCCCGAATCAAACCGCCCTGGGTTAAGGGTCCGCCAACCTACCAGATCTGCCACCGCATCGTGCCCCCTGGCGAGGCCTCCCGGCGCACGGGCACCGGCGCCCGCACCCTGGCTGACATCAAGGCCCGCGCCCAGCAGGCCCGTGCCCAGCGTGAGGCCGCTGCTGCTGTTGCAGCCACTGGCGATGGGGCAGGGCCGGGCGGGGGCGGCCCGGGGGGCGGTCCTGGAGTACCGGATCGCGGCGGTACCGGTCGGAGGGCCCGAGAGCACCCGGGCCCCATCGAGCCGGGAGGAGGAGAGGGGTCCTCGGAGGAGCCGGGAGTGGCTGCGCTCCCTCATCCTACAGGAGCACAACTACAGCTGCCTGACATAGAGCTGATGGCCCAGCCTCTCTCGCACTCGCATCCAGAGCCACAGCTTGACCCGCACTGTGGTCGCACACACTCACCAGCAGAGGGCACCCCCGAGGCATGCTTGGAAGAGGAAGCTGTCTCTATGGACGGCAGCCCCCCGACACAGACTCCTGATGTTCGGACACCGTCTGTCATGGGAGTGGGGGTTGGCGACTACCGGAAAGAACAGGGCCGAGGCGGCGGGGTGAATGAAGACCAGATAGTGGGATGCGATGTCAGTCTAGCGACCAGCGTCAATGAGGTGACTGTTCTGGCCCCCACCTCCATCCCTGACACGCTGCCCAGGTTTGGGAGTCGAGGCATGGAGGCCATACGGACTCTCTCCCCCGGCCATATCCAGGAAGGTGAGCAGAGTGGGGAGCATCAGCAGCTTATCTCTGTAGCTCACAATGCGGACACAGTTACAGTATTGGGCTGGAATCAGCAGAACCCTGGGCCTAGAGGGTCTGAGGAAGCACCCAAGCCACTTAGTACCGGGAGGACTGAGGATGAAGAGGAAGGAACACTGCGGGCGGCCAAGCCGGCGGTGGCGGCAGGTTCGGATCCGCACCCTGACTGCGGGACCAGCCCGTGTGTCAGCCCAGAGCCGCAGCTCCCTGCTGGCACCGAAGATGACACGGGGGCCCACAGTGACTCGACTGAGACTGCCTCGGACATTGAGAACGAGGTGAACGAGGAGGACTCTGACTGGTGCGTGCCACCCAACCCAAAGAATGTCCAGGACCGGGCCCATCTTCTGGATGCCACTGGCAACCAGCTATCTAACTGGGTCCATCCTGCGAATGCTGCTCATGGCCAGCCGGCCGCTCCATCCCGTCACCTGAGCACTCCTCCCCGGCACACTGCCATCCTGCCACCAAGCCAGTCCGCTCCCTTGTGTCTCCATAACACAGAGATGATTCCTACTAACCTTCAGGCGCGGAGCAACCAGAGCTCTCCCGTGGCTCCCAAGGCTGGTGGTGATGTTGATCCTTGGGGACGGACAGACTCGGATGAGTCCAAGACCCCTGGGAAGGCACCTGTCTCTGTCAGTGAGAACTGCAAGGTGTTGCTGAAGCTAGCTGGCACTGCTAGCGCCCCTAGAAAAGCCATTGGTTCAGCCCGGCCAGTATCCTCAGTAGAGGCTAACAACCCGCTGGTCACCCAGTTGTTACAGGGCAGCCTGCCCCTGGAGAAGGTCCTACCCCAGTCCCACTCTGCTAGCAAGCTAGAAATCAACCGCCTCCCGGCCGGGCCAGCTACACCTTCGGCCCACCTCCAAGGTTCCTGCAATGTGGAGCCAAGCCGGCAACACGGTGGACCCACCAGAACCCTAGCTGTCCGGTCCAGGTGTCCGTCTACAGGTCCCTCAGACTCCCGGGCTCTGGGAACCTTGCCGGAGTCGTTTACTCCGAGTCACCTCAAGGTTCCGACGGCCAGTGCCTCTCCCGGAAAGGGACGGAGCTTCGGCACAGCTGCACCCCTGCCAAAGGCGCGTCAACTGCAAGACAAGCAGCTCAGCGTGGTGGGGACAGTGCCTGTCATCACGGCCCTGTCCTGTATGCGTGCTTCAGACTTTAACCAGAGCACCCCCTTCGAACCAACTGCAGTCAAAGAACACCCTGGACCTCAGCCGCCACAGGGTGGCGCTCTCGAGAGACCTGTGGGAGGCACAGGGCCCCAAGCCCACTGCAGAGCTGTGGCCGAAACCCCATCTCCGCCCCACGGTGACCTTTGTCCCTCTGAGGTCGTGCCCACCGTTAAAATCGACTGGCGGCCCAAGCTGGACCCCCAGCTGTCACCGGCGCCGGCGCCCACAGTGAAGAACGAGGCCGTCCGTCCCTCATGCCAGGCCCTTGCGAAAAACTCCATGTCAACTGTAACCAAAAACGAGCCGCTGGCTAATGCTTACCTCGGCGGCGGGGCCATGGAGGGACTGCTCAACATGGAGATGTCCCTCGTACGAATGGCCAAGAAGGAGCAGGGCAAGGTGTACGGTCGGCCGGCAGACTCCTCGCCCTCTGCGCTCCCCTTCCAGGTTAGCCTGCAGCAACAGCTGTACGGAAAGCTGCCCAAACTGCAGCCCGGCGGCAGTGGCAGCTTCAGCTACACGGCCAATGTGTCCGTGGTGGACAGCAGCGGGTTCCCACGCAACATCGCCGACAGTGTGCTGCAGCTGCGGCAGCGAGCTGGCCCAGGCTCCGCCTCCAGCATCCTGGCCTTCGCTGACGGCACCGCTGAGGAGGTGGCACTCAAGTGCTCCTGCAGGCTCAAGGCAATGATCATGTGCCAGGGCTGCGGGGCCTTCTGCCACGACGACTGCATCGGGCCCTCGAAACTCTGTGTGTCCTGTCTGGTGGTGAGATAGTACCCTTTGCCATGTGGCGCCCCCTGGGTGGGGCGCCAGGCCCAGGGAATTGCGTCTTGTATGATAAAAATCTTGTCTGTATTTTTGTTGCATATTTTTTTTCTAATGCTGTTATAATAATTATGGTTGTTGTCGTTGATGTTGATATTATTATTGTTATTATTATTATTGTTATATTATTATGATTAAGTGAATTTATGGGGCATGGTTGCTTGTAAATCGTGCCTTTTTTGTTCCTTTTCACAATAACATTTACCTCATCTCCTCTGACATCATAAGTTCTGTGTCACAATCCTGACGTCCCCCCAGTTCACGCTCGGTGTACTTCGGGGAGGGGACAGAGCTGATCTGTATGTCTGTGTCGCAAAGAAATATTTTTTTAATCATTAAACAAGTGAATTACATTTTTTTTTAAACTTCTAAGTTCTTTCATTTGCCTTTTGTTTTGAAGCCAAGTCTGTATTGGGCAGTAAAGCACAGTATTCCAATAAAGCTGGCACTGAGTCCGTGCGTTCAAATCAGTATACATTTGTGACTCATGGTTATGTGGTGGCATGCTACTCCATCAGCCCACCCTCCAAACCAAAGAGTGGTTTGCTTCTTCCAGCCTGCGGATGGGACTCCTTCTGGAATAAGGCCTGGGCCAATGGCTGCCGTCTGACTTGGTCGTCCTGTTTGGGTCACTTAGAGCAGTGTTTCCCAACCCAATCTTTGGGGACCCCCAGATAGTCCACATTGCTGGCTCCCAGCTCCCAGCCAATCAAGAACACTGAATATCTGGTACCTGTGTATTGGGAGGTAGCAAAAAAATGTGGCCCTGTCTGGGGGTCCCTAAGGACTGGGTTGGGGAAACATTGACTTCGAGGGAAGAATTCAGTCAAGTAAAAATGTTTTGGATGAGTGTAACTTTGCTGGACGGCATTGCCTTATGGTGGGCGGTCTTCTGTTCCGTTAATCACACGTTTTCAGTGACTGGTGGTGTCTGGGAGGTTCGTGTTAAGTTTCTGCCTACTTGCATGTGGTTCTTGTCGCATTGATCCTTATCCTGTCTGTAAAGAACAGCTGCAGTGATGTGGCACTTAGCAGAAATCCCCCATTACGGTAATAGTACGTATGTGAGTGATGTTTGCTTGCCTGCGGCCCGTACCGCAACCTGCCCTGTAGTGTCACGCCGCTGCCTCCGCTGGCAGCACTTCTGTGTGTCACCTATGATGCCAGCTATAGGTGCGGCGCCAGCAGTATTCGTCCTGAACAAGTGACGTGAGCGTACGGTTGACGTAAATAAACGTACACAAATGAAATTTTAAAGATGCTTTATTTGGGGATGGGGGAGGTCTTGTTGGGGGAAGGGGGATACAGTGACTGGGGGCTCACGGCGGAGCTCTTGTGGAAATGGTCATGCTGTTTTCAAAGCTGTAAAAACGCAGGTCATTTATCCACCCCAGAAATTGCTTGCCAAGTTTTTAAATGTCATGATGCAGGTGCCACAACAAGACAAAAGTACCCAGCCGCACGTTAGGCTGCACAAACAGAATAGTCTGATGTTACCGCTGCACAGTTTGTCCTGAAGTTATCTGCTCATCTGCAAGCAAGTCTCAAAGATCTTTTAATAATGCAGGAGGAAATTAGTTGACCCCTCCCCCAACCACTCAGACGCACATATCGCACAAAGTCTTAAATGCAACACATCCTGTAATCACAAAGTAAACACTGTAACTGCCACAAAGATGCGGTTGACCTGCGCACGTAACCAAATTAATTTCTGTTTTGTATCTTTAGTTCGGTCGGGAAAATAATATGATTTCCTGGTATAATTCTTGGACGGACAGAAGAAAATGTTTGCTAGAGGAATAACTAGTGGTAATGGGATGAAAAGGCTTGTATTACTGCTGTGTAGGTCCACTACTTGTGGGGTGATCCATCATTCGGAAAGCTGAGAATCTTTGGAGCCAGGGTTCTCTAACACCCTCATGCCAGGCTTGACAATAACTCTGAGAAACCGGCCGGCGTGGCACTGAGCTTCGTTAGAACTTAAAGCCTGCATGGTTTTCACTGTCTCTGTAGACACCTAACCCATTAGGACCAAGCTGAACTCGCCCATGATATCTGAAAATAGGAACAATGGAACTCGCCTGAGAGTCCCCAGTGTCCCTTAGGGAAATTTTCCAATTCTACTTTGGGCAGCCAATAGCTTGTCTGCGATTAAGGGGACAAAGACACTGATCCTTTCCCAGCAGAGTCTGTATTATCTTTCTAGATGTGCTCAGAACCACTGGAAAAAGGTTATCGAAGGAGGCTACCTGCAAATCCATCTCGTGGAACTCCTACTGTCAGATCCACCTCACTATGCACAAGTGTCAAAATCTGTGATCCTGTGGCACTGAATCATCTACAATGCAAGAGGGTGGGAAAAAACGAGGTGAACAGTGAAGCACCAGCATACTAAGAGCATATCTTGACAAAAATCTGGTCAAAAAATGCAGGTGTTTTCCCTCCACAACTGAGGCGTTTGAGGGTGTGTGTGTTTTTCCTTCATGTTAAGAGACAGAGGCTCGGAGCTGGTAGGGGTTAAACCCTAAGAAGCTGTATCAGGCTCTGCCATGCTTACTTCTGACGGTAGTAGAGCAAATACATCTTCAGTGGCTCTGGTAGCGGCAGACCTAGGATCCTTTCCCTGAGTAGATTGACAGGGGTGTCTGGCCTACTCTCCCTGCCCACTTCCTCTCCGGTCAAATCTACCCGCCTCTCCACCACCCCCTCCTCCTCCTCTGCTTCCTCATCCGTCTCGGAGCGGTCGCAGCCGTCGTCTGTGTGCTTCCGCGGGATTGTGCGGCTCACAAACGCGTGCCGGTTGGCCAGGAGCAGTGAGTCTGCGCGGCGACACGTCCGCCTGCGCTTTGGCCGTGCCCTAGCCCCACTCCTGGCTCCGCCCCTCTCCGACCGCAACCTGGTCGGCTGCAAGGCCGTCATCTTCAAGGTGTGCCGGATGGCAATCCGAGCCAGGTCCTGCAGGGGGCGCACCTCGAACATCGCCGCTGGGGTGAGCCGTGGTCAGACACGGATGGGCAAGAGGGCAGGAGGCCGGGAGCAAACACGTGCCGGGGGATCACACAGGCAGAGGTGAGCACACACGGGCCGGCATGATTTTTGGGTAACCGCATGCCAGGGCGACATGCAGTCACAGCCGAAGACATGACGGGAATGGGTCAAGAGGGAGTGTGCGGGAGTGACGAACATAAGGGACAGAGAATGACAGAGGGGTAAGCACACATAACAGGAAAAAGAAGAGAAGCATCAACACCCAACACCTGGATCAAGGGCTCTTTCAAAAAGAAAAAAACATAGGCAGCAAACACACCCAACATCTAAAATACTACACAGGCTCAGACTTTGAGAAATGAAGGCAAGACCAAGTTCAGTCACGTGACTCGTTCAGAAAGCAAAGCCGGCTCGGCTGGGAGGGGGAGCGCCTCTGCGGGCCAACACTCACGTAGAGGGACGATCTTGGACTTGTCGGTGTCCCTGTTCTTGGGCAGCACCAGTGGGGCGAAGGACACAGCGATGATCTTCTTGGTCTCCCAGGTGTTGTGGCCCGTGCGGGTGATCTTTGTCAGCTGGTAGAGGGGAAAGGCTTCACTGTTTCTCTCACATTTGTTTAATTAGACATTCCACCTTAAAATACAACAGAAATCACATTCTTTTCATCATATGATAAAAATTACTGAAATGAGCATTGAACAGTCCCACGCAACAAAGCTGTCTTTTAGTCTTTTACTTGTTTGAATGCCCAGCAGTCTCTGCTTTTCTGTGCATCTGTCTGTTTCTATATGACTGTCTCTCTGTTTGTGTCTGTCTCTAGGTGAGTGTTTATGTGAGTATCTATGTGTCTCTGTGTGTATCTCTATTGGTGTTTTAGTCTGTATGTGTCTCCATATGAGGATGTCGGTCCGTGCCTCTGTGTGTGTGTCAGTCTGAGTGTCTATTTCTATGTGTGTATCAATCTCAGTGTGTCTGCTTCTCTGCCTCATTGCTCCTGTTTCTATGTTTGCATGCACATGCTGACCTTTTCCTCCAGGGGGAGCACCAGAATGCCGCCAACCTTCAGCAGGTTCTTCATGTAGTCCTCATGCTCACGCTGCACGCCGGCCCCACAGTACACCCGGTCATACTGCCTGCTCTCCGGCGTAATCTCCAGGCAGTTTCCCGCCACAAAGGAGGGCTCGCAAAACTCGAACCTGCAGCACAAGTCCACATCAACGTGTCTCACTCCACACTGACGCCAACTTAGGAATCATTCTTTTATGTAGTGCAACTATGTTAAAAAAGATGCACTTCCTGTTATGATGTTCTCACATGGGTGTTTAATTGGTATCTTCATAAGTAGGTCATACTCCTACATGCAAACGGAATGAGAGGGAGCCAAACGAACGAGAGATGCACCGATCAATTGGCCAGGGACCGGAATTGGACGATTTTCAGCGCACTCAGCCGATCGGTCTTATGTATATCCGATACGGAACTGGTCTGATTTACGTATGCGCCACACGTCACAGGCAATAGCCTCACAGCCACATGCTAACATGTCATTACCATTGAAGTTCTTTGCTGACTCAAAGCTAAAGCCAAAGTAAACCAGGAGGGAACCACCACGAAAATATGGTGAAGCACCAGAGCTAAACTTTAAACTTATTAGTAAACATATACTAGATAATCTTGAAAAGGACTAATCATTAAAACTGCAAAGCTAACTAAGGCCTTTTCCTATGACAGAGTAAAAATGTTTTAGTGAAACTTTAACCCCCTGTGCTATAATGACAGTACAGTGTGAAGGTATGAAAAAGACTGATCTTATTTCAGCTTACTAGCGATGTAAGAATTGTATGTGCATAACATGCAATGTTGCCTTTATTAAAATTACCCTGCACCTACTATTATTTGGAAGAATATAGTACATTTCAGTTTTATTTGGAGGTTTGTAACCTATGGACTTTTTTTAAAGACAAGCAAAAAAACTGAAAAAGGTCAATGTCGTGTTATTTAGTAAATTTAAAACATACTGGAAATTTACATAAGTAACAGATTTGTTTTGTTATTTAAATCTATTGCACCTGCTGTTGTTTGGTAAAGTAAAATATGTCAGATAAAACTGGGTGTGCAGCAACTCATTTTCAGTTAATTGTGCCTCTTTCCAGTCACACAGCACTTTATTTTGGGACTTGGTTAAGTGAGAGAAGATCCTGTAACTAAGGGCACTTTTCCACCGCACAAAGTATGGTACTTTCGGTACTTTCGCTTTTCCATTTACTTCCGGTCGAGTACCAGTACTGAAAGTGCCAAACCAACTTAAGTACTTCTTTGGTACTTCGGTATTTAGGGGTGGGACTTGCAAACGTATTTGCTGTTGATTGGTTATGCAAATAGCCTGCCGCTATAACACAAAATACAACCGCCATCTTTTGAAACACACAGTGAACAGCAAGAAACGAAATAAAAAGCAGTAGAAACAAAAACATAAGAAAAGTAAAATGGAAGGATGGACAAACGAGGAAATACAGGCTTTAATCGCCATATGGTCGGATGAACAGATCCACCGGGATTTGGATGGCACGACTTGAAATAAAGAAGTATTTGCCGTAATAGCAAGCCGCTTGGAAGAAATGGGGCACACGCCAAACACCGAACAATGCCGCTTGAAAATCAAAACACTTAAGCAGGACTACAGGAAAGTGAAGGATCATAACAACAGTGAATTCAGTGAAAGAAATACCGTGCCGCGCTTTGTGATGATGTCAGTCAGGGGTGGTCACTGATGATGTCATTTGGCGCCAGTACCAGTTTTTACGCCAGTGTAAAACCAACATAAAAGAAGTACCAAACTTTTGGTACTTTATGGAAGTACTGAAAGTACGGTACCTGGTGCGGTGGAAAAGCGCCCTTAGTGCATTTCAGGGGAAATTGTGAAGTTTAACAATTTCTTTTATTATGAAAATCACGTCACTCGCTGAGGCTTGCTCACCTGTCAAAGCTGTCGCTGGTTTTGATGAAGATGTCCAACCTTTGGTAGGCGTAATCGATGACGTCTGAATGCAGCTCTACCCCGTGGTTGACGCCAAATGGACCTGTTTAATCAAAGAGGGCCACAGAGGTAATGCTGTGACCCATAGCCCACATATCCTTGCATACCATCTCAACACATAACATTAACAAAGCCAAAACTAAGCTCACTGCCGCGCCACATGGATATTTTTTTTCTTCCAAATTTTAAAAACTCAGTATGAGCTTTCAGTTTAAACAAACTTTCTATTTTTGAGAAAATGGAATTTTAATTTCACTCCAAATTGAATTAACCATGGTTTGCAAAAGCTTAAATAAAGCCATCTGCATGTTTTCCTGAACGGATTTTTTTGCGTTCCATTGGATAATGGAAATAAGGTTTCTCCCAGCCCATGTCCCAGTATGTCCACCTCCACAAGAAGCAAATAATGTTGACTATCTCGTTAAAAACGATGTGCATCAAGGTCTGGGATGTATTAGACAGTAACCTAACATTTGATTTTCATAGGTGATGCTTTGAATGCAGAAGTAATGGACAGGGATGAAGATCTGAGTGACTTTGATAAGGGTAAAATCGTTAAGGCCAGAAGACTGGGTCGGAGCATCTCCAAAATGGCAAGGCTTGTGCGGTGCTCGTGGTCAGCCATGTTGAGTACCTACTGAGAGTGATCCAAGGAGGGAAAAATCACGAACCGCCGACAGGGTGTTGGGTGACCAGGACTCATTTATGGGGGATGTGAATGAAGGCTATCCTGTNGTGAAAGAAATACCGTGCCGCGCTTTGTGATGATGTCAGTCAGGGGTGGTCACTGATGATGTCATTTGGCGCCAGTACCAGTTTTTACGCCAGTGGAAAACCAACATAAAAGAAGTACCAAACTTTTGGTACTTTATGGAAGTACTGAAAGTACGGTACCTGGTGCGTTGGAAAAGCGCCCTTAGTGCATTTCAGGGGAAATTGTGAAGTTTAACAATTTCTTTTATTATGAAAATCACGTCACTCGCTGAGGCTTGCTCACCTGTCAAAGCTGTCGCTGGTTTTGATGAAGATGTCCAACCTTTGGTAGGCGTAATCGATGACGTCTGAATGCAGCTCTACCCCGTGGTTGACGCCAAATGGACCTGTTTAATCAAAGAGGGCCACAGAGGTAATGCTGTGACCCATAGCCCACATATCCTTGCATACCATCTCAACACATAACATTAACAAAGCCAAAACTAAGCTCACTGCCGCGCCACATGGATATTTTTTTTCTTCCAAATTTTAAAAACTCAGTATGAGCTTTCAGTTTAAACAAACTTTCTATTTTTGAGAAAATGGAATTTTAATTTCACTCCAAATTGAATTAACCATGGTTTGCAAAAGCTTAAATAAAGCCATCTGCATGTTTTCCTGAACGGATTTTTTTGCGTTCCATTGGATAATGGAAATAAGGTTTCTCCCAGCCCATGTCCCAGTATGTCCACCTCCACAAGAAGCAAATAATGTTGACTATCTCGTTAAAAACGATGTGCATCAAGGTCTGGGATGTATTAGACAGTAACCTAACATTTGATTTTCATAGGTGATGCTTTGAATGCAGAAGTAATGGACAGGGATGAAGATCTGAGTGACTTTGATAAGGGTAAAATCGTTAAGGCCAGAAGACTGGGTCGGAGCATCTCCAAAATGGCAAGGCTTGTGCGGTGCTCGTGGTCAGCCATGTTGAGTACCTACTGAGAGTGATCCAAGGAGGGAAAAATCACGAACCGCCGACAGGGTGTTGGGTGACCAGGACTCATTTATGGGGGATGTGAATGAAGGCTATCCTGTCTAGTACAAAACGATAAAGGGGCTATTGTGACACTAATGTAAGATAATTTAATGATGGTCACATAAGTAACGTGCCACGGCACACGCTAATCCCTGACCACTGTCAAAAGCACCTACAACGGGCAACTAAATTACTGGAACAGGACCTTGGCACAATGGAGCATGACATTCACCTTCATAGCCCCATATGCAGCCAGGTTCTGTGTATCATGACAAAATACTCCTGTGATTATCAAAATTATCTGTATGGGATTGTTTGATTTTGCAGTAGTCCTCCGGTTGGTATCTACCAGATGGGATAGCCTCCATTCACATCTCACATCAAGGAGTCTCGGCTTCCCAACATCCTGCTGACGGATCGTGGTTCTCCCTCTGTGGATCACTCTCAGTAGGTACTCGCCACAGCTGACTGCGGGCAGCTCACAAGCCGTGCCACTGCAGACATGCTCTGACCCAGTCATCTGGCCATGATGATTTGACCATTATCAAAGTCAGTCAGGTCTTTACTCTTGGCCATTTCTTCTGCATTCAACATGTCAGCTATAAGTAACAAATCGTAACTTGCCATCTAATATATTCCAGACCTCGACATGCTGTTTTTCACAAGACAATCAACATTATTCACATTATGTACGGATGAGCATAATGTTTTGGCTTTTCAGAGTAGATATATAGTAATGTAGATATGCATGCATGCATAGATTGCTACACTGGTTTTAATGCCTATTTATGTTTTGTATACCTTGCTTTTTAAATTTATTTTCTAAAATAAACAGATAATATTTTTCGCCTGTTGTCTGTTTTTCCTGATATCTGCTGTTCTGTGGATACACTGCATCCATTATCTCCTTTTGATCCACCAGTTTGATGCACCTGTACTCACTCACCCAGGATGAGGCCGACCATGGTGCTCAGGTACCCAGTTCCACTGCCCAGGTTAAGGAAGGAGAGCCCAGGCTGCAGGTCCAGCGCCTCCATCACCTCAGAGTAAATGCAGGGGGCGGACAGGTGGATGTTGCCATGGCGCCAGGCCAGGTCTTTGTAAGCGCTGTTGCGGAACTCCTCCAGGTAGTAGTCGGCGCGGTCGACGGCGCGGAAGGCCTGCTCCACCAGCTCGGATCGGATGTAGTGCGCCTCTTTCAAGTTGTCAATCAGCTCGTCGTTGTCTTCCCCAGCGCTTACAGCACCACCCATCTTCAGGTGGAGTGACAGGCCAGGGGGCCACACCTGGTAGACACAGCAGAAGTCAGACCTTTTCATACATCTGAAGGTATGTCTGCCAAGATCCAAGCTTCAACAAACCTCTCCAGAGATTCAGCCACAAGCTAATTGTCGTAGCTGAAATGCCCTTCCCTAGAAAATCTTTACCCATGTGCTGCCATGTGAATGGGCACAATTTCTAACCCCAAACTGAAGTGATCACACTATCAATGGAATTACACTAATAATAACTCAGGGGGGGTGTCATGATGGCTCAGTATGTCGCCTCAAACACCCAGGGCTGGTGGCTTGGATACTTGCACTGCTCTGTGTGAGGAGTTAGCATGTCCTCCCCATGTAACATAAGCTGCTTCCTGAAGTCCACATACAGCACACAGTAAAATTGTGGTTGCCCTGTGATGCACTGCCATCCTGCTCATGAATCCCAGCCCCGTGCACAATGCTGAACAGGACAGGCTGCAGGAAATTGGTTTGCAAGTCCAGGACAAGGTATGCACTATTTATTAAGTCTAGGTGTAATAAAATGAGTTGAAAACACCTCAAATGTGCATTTTGGAAAGAGCACTGTTACTTGGCTTACATTGGATGACAGTGAAATGTCTGTTTTAAAAGAAAATTTATGACAGAAAATTGGTGGTGAAGATTTCTACAAAACCATACATGGGTTAAAAATTCTGATCATTTTAAAATATACCCTGCATTGGACAAGCAGGTATAAAAAATGAATGGATGTTTGAATTTACATTCTTCATTTTAAATAATCTCATATCTAGAGCTGGACAAAAGTTCTGTTTTATATCAATACAAAAATGACAATATCCAAATTACATTTAAAAAGATGGCATGGTCATTAATTAAAAAGACATGAATTACATGGATGTAACATATATTTATTAAATCAATCACCATTTCAGATCAGAAACAAGGTTTACTCTATAGTACTTCAAATCAGTATAATCGAAATTGGTAGCAAAATTTCATCATTTGCGCCTTGCACAAGCTAGAACTGGGTGAGCTTTCTTGTCTGACTACCAGTCATACAAGTCGGATTCCAGTTGAACTAGAAAATTTAATTTACCTTTTAATCTAAAAGCGGCCAGTAGCCTATTATCCGCTTACAGCAGGTGGATGTTACTAACAATTTAGTTGAACAGCTCCTCAGAGCACCAGTTCCCCTTTTGTGATGTGAAATGACAATTACAGCTTCTTAACAATATGGTTACTTACTGTCTTTTAAACCTATCTGTCCCTTTATAATTGAAATACCAATAAAATGTTCCGTAACTATAAATAACTGTAAATCGAAAACGGCGCAATTCAAACATCAGAGCGAAGCCGCTCAGCAAACAGTGGTCCAAACCCCATCCTGCCCAATATGACTAAAAGACAGGAAAAACAATCACAAGTGCCACGGCTCTACCAGCAAATGGATGAAGACCAGATTCAGCTGGCTTATCGCAATCAGCATCCGTGCTCGCACACGCTGCAGAGTTTCACGTTAAGAGATATGAGCTCATCTGTCATTTTAGTGTACATGTCAGCACACTAACGTTTATTGACACCCCCATCTCCATCAACTGTCAAAGCAGACGTATTTCCGTGCGAATGTGGATAAGGCAGCACTTCCAGGCAGAGAGGGCTGCAGCTGCCGTGCCTTTATCCGCAGCTGCGCCACACATGAACGGCCGATCTTCGTGTGCATCCGGCACGCCGCCTGCCTTTGAAAACACAGCCCGTCTCGTTTGCACGAAACACAGGAGCAGAGATGACCATTCACTTAGCTATCGAATCAACCTAAATATATCTAGATAAGCTCACCGAAACCAGCAGCTAATTCAGTAATGACTGCAAATTACGGTAAAAACGCGGCAAGACGTTCCCCACATTCTTCCGGTTAAGCCGTGAAATCAGACCTTTTAAAGCACCACAAGTGAGAAAAACACAATGGTTTAAGCATTGCAACAGCAGAGAAACTAGCTATGAAAACGCATCAAAAACCATTAATCGTAACGGTCTAAGAAGTTCATATTTTACCGAGAATATGCCGACTTTGTGGGGTATTTTCTTTATAATTTAATCTGATATCACTGATATCTTCGTTGCGTTTTTCTCTTTTTCCAAGATATTGTTCCTGAATAATCTGATCCAGTACAGAGCTGGAAGTAAACATTGACCAGCTGGTGCTCTTACGTCACGCACACAAACACACCAAATGTGGACTAAACGGATCTGGTTTTTTCTCATCGCACCCAACGCGCACTTGTCCGTGATTGGCCACGGCGTCACTAAAGTGAGGATTGACCCAATCAGAAGCGATTGTTGCCCTTCTTCGGAGGTGAAAACATATGCGCACAAAACCATATTTGCTTGGGTATCTAGGTAAGATCCGATAATTCATACACCGCATACTTTAATAATAAAACGGTCATTATAAATTTGGGTTAGATGGGTTAATTAGATTAGAACTTAATCAATACAAATGTTATTAAATTTTGGAGTCTAGACAGTGAGTGTGTAAACCTTCTGCCCAAGGAAATCTGTGTTTAAGATACCTTTGTACATGTGTATACCATTAGCAAATCACACACATTTCCTTTGGGAGGTAGTATGTTCAGTGTATGTTCAGTATCTTTTTCTTAATATTTTGATTGACAGGCAGCACTTTATTCTGTTTGGGCCTAATAATAATGAATATAAGAGTCATCATGCTTAAAAACATGTTTCTTCATTTTTGTCTATATATAACGTTTTTGAAAACAGGTTGAAAGTCTGGCTTAATACTGTCTTAAAACCTCTACTCTGTAAATATTCATAATTTGTAAATGATCTTTTCTTAAATCAATACAGTTCAGAGCTACATACCTGATTTATGCTTTTTTTTTTTTTTACTTAACGTAGAGGGATATGTTTACTGGATCAATTCATGTAAAGTTCCTTTGTCTCAAAAATACACCAGCAAAGCACTTTCTGAACAAGACCAAACCCTGTAATCTTTTGGTCACGTGTTCATGTTCATGAGTACTGTGACGCCTCCTACTGTTCCTTGGTGTCAAAGCAGAAGAAGCTTACTGACTGGGCAAATCCATTACATTATGCCACAGTATTTAATTACTTTGTGCTTGATTTTGAGAATTCTGCCTGACGGTTATTGGTTTTTGTATTGCCTTATAATTTTGTCTTAATGGCAACAATCTTATTTTGTGTAACCATTTTGTCTTATATAAATGACAGATGATTGAAAAAAAAAAAGAATTAAATCCAGTTTTCCTCACCTACTTATATACGATAATTCCTGGGTCACAGAGCAGCACTTAATGGATGGTGTGTGGCTCTGGTTTAGGGCTCTGTGTCTGTGTCCAGTAGATCACTGCTTCAAATCCCATGACTGATGCCATAATCATATTATTGTTGGTCCCTTGAAATGCCGCTAACTTCGAAAACCTTTTCCCTTCTGACCCCTTTGTATTTGTGTCTTGTAGGAGGGTGAGACTGGATATGTGAAAACCAAGGAATAGAAAATGAAGCATCATTATTTAAAGAAGATTAGAAGCATAAAACTGCATTGGACCCTACAAATTCAAAAAATACAAACCACTACAGGGTTACTCCCTTCAGTCCAGCCACCAGATCTTGTTGTGCGGCAAATATAGGCAGAGATACGTCTCAGATGTTTTGGCCGTGTAGTGTACCTGTGAACAGCACTGGTCGAAGCCCATGTTGCTCCCTAGGCAAGCCTTGCTGCTGGTACCCCCTGCTGGAGGCAAAGTGAAGTTGGCTCGCTGAGTTGGTGACCACACAGGAGATGCAGACTGAGGTGGTCGCCCAAGTCGCCTTATGGGTTACCTGGCACTGCATGCAAATGGACTGTGTGCTTCCCATCTGCAGTACTAGACAGTATAATGGACCTGTAACCTCAAGTTTGCTTGATCTATTCCCAGTTGGGGTTCTGGTGTACTACCTATGAATAACTGAATGATGCAATTGAAAAAAATATCTGCATGTTAGTAATTCTTAAAAACTTCACTATCACAGATGTACAAGGAACTACTGCAAACGTACTCTTAGTGTTCAGATAGAACTGATAACACAGAAGAGCAAAAATAAAAATGGGGAGCTACAATAATAACTATCAATAATTCTGTATTGATAACAGAAAATGCTTTTGCGAAGTAGAACATGCAGAAACTTCAAGGCAAATGCCCTTTGTTCTGATTGTGATTTTTATTTAGATATCAACTATTTTTACGCAGTCATCACAAACACAGACGTTACAAAATAAATATCTAACAATATTACGGTTCATTGTTCTTTAAATATCAAATAAATAATAAATACATAATTTCATTTTTTTTTTCCTGAATTCAGGGGGTGTCAAAATACTTTAACGGAAAACATAAATAATATCAACAAAAATGATAACTTTTAAAAATTATCAAACTTGGTCCATTATAAAATATTTGCACTTAAAAAAGAAGTTAAAAATCCCATTCTCTAAATTAAAAAATATGATATATAAAATAATTCATTGTGGTTGAAATTCGTAAATAGCATTTTTATTCTTGACACAAAGGACAATATCTCGCTACTTCTTAGCCAGTTCAAATACATTAACATCTTAAGTTGCATGCTATCCTTCAGAACAATTAAATAAGTCAATAAATAGGCATGGTAAAAATAAATAAGAAAACGTAACGTGGAATAGAATGAATAAATTACATCGTACCATTCACAGATTCAACTTAAATAATTTATGTAACAATAATTCAACTACTCACTATTTCTTCAAATGAAGTGCAATTTCTATGATCATAAGTACCTCGAACTAGATGGGAATGGAATTAATTTACATGATAGATAGTTATATTTCTGTATGAGGAAAAGCTTGTCAGGTCCGTAGTCTGTTCTGTTTTGTCTTGTACCATTGCGTGGTGAAGAGGTTGCGTTCGTCCTCTAAACAGTCACAGCTTTTTTCATGGTAGAAAGGACATTTTCTCCGCTGTTTCAAATTGCTCACTAAAGGTCAGTGCCAAGCACAGATGCGTGCATGCACATATTGTCTGTCACAGCCTCAAAAAGGTGTGGTCATCAAAGAGAATCGAAGTTCTGCTGAGATTTACCCCTAACCCATGTTTTTGCCTTACCCCTCCAGCCCCACCCCCAAAATGCAGGAACGCCGCTACGGTGTGGAAGAGAGCTACAAAGAGGCAGCACAGACAGGCAGGTAAATGAGGAGTTTAAGGCCGAGGTGCATGTCATTGAGTCTGTTGAGGCCAAACGCTACGCTGGAGGTCTTCGTGTAAGTGTGGCGGAAAGGAAGCTGCTGTGCACCGCAGCTACATCAAGGGCATAAGATCCTAAATCTGAGAGTGCTGGGTTTCTGCTCCCACCCAATCCGACGAGCTGGGGCGTGATATGTAGTCCTCTTTGTCTGTAAGGCTAAATCCCATATCCTGCATCAGGTCTGCGCGCTTTGTTCTTGACAAACCATCTCCTCAAAAAGTTGTGGAAGAGAAAATAACATTTGAAACTGAAAAAGAGAAAAATTTGGTTTGTTCCGCCAAGCCCCTGAAAATGAAGAGCAGCAAGTATGGATTTTGGTCCTGTTGGGTTTTTTTGTATTTAATTCTCTCTCAGAATGCTCTTTAACTTTGGAGGAATTCTACAGTCGCATATATAACCTGAATGCCCTTTTTTATTTGCCATTTGGCCATCTGTGTATCCCATACCTTGTCTCTCTCACTCTCTCTCATTTCCTTGTCATATTCTCTAGACCTTGATCCCTTTCACAGCCTGGTTTATGGTCTCCAGCAAAGCCTTGTTGTCAGGGTTCTGGTAGCACTCCTTGTTGGTGTATATATCCATCAGTCTGTCCACATAGGTGTCAAAATTCTGCTCTGTGATTGGCTCCTGCTGTCATGGGCAAAACGCAAAGACATTTGTTAAAAACTCAGCACTGACCTTCAATTCTTCTCAACACTCTTGCCCTAAGTCTACCTGTTTTGTATTCAAGAGAGAGCGCTCTCTCCCATTTGACTGATGATTGTTACTGCAGAAACTGCCAGCTCGAATATGTGACATTAGATTTGATGTGCTATAACGGTAACTGCCCTTCTAGTGACTGTGAAACTGATTTACTCCATAACATCCGTACAAAGAAAATCAAGCAAAAATAGAGTTTGGTGTAATAAACATGAGGTATGACAGACCTACAGTATACAGCATGACAACTGAGTGCTAACTCTGACCCTAATTATGCAGTGTAGTGTAATGCAGTGGCTCAGTGGGCTAAACCTTGGTGCCAGTGTTCGGAAGGTCACTGGTTTGACCCCAGCCTCAGCATGTCTGCAGGCCCTTGAAGAAGGCCCTTAACCCCCAGCTCCCTGAGTGCCATTACGGGTGGCTGCCCTTCATTGCTGAGCTTACTCTCACCTACATGTATGTCATGGAGAGCAAGATGGGGTAGGTGAAAAGGGAATTTCCCCATAGGGATCAATAAAGTATCATTAGACAAGCCCCTATCACAAGGGCTGGTTTCGATATTGATTGTGGTTCATTGGTAGGGGCCAAATCCGCCCTGAACCCCCTGCTCCCCTAAGCACACATGGCACTCCCACAATATTGGTACCCAAAGTCACACCCTCACCCTGTCACCCCCACTGTCACGAACGGGGACAAGCCGCTTACCATGTGGGGGAGTCGGATGTGGGCGAGGCTGCGGATCAGCGCCTGGCTGAGGCCTGACAGTTCCACAAAGAGTGCCTCGTTCTGCTCCTCGATAGCCTTGTTCTCCTCCTCCATGTTTTTCAGGTTCTTCTCCATGGAGGAGATCTGCATCGAGACAAAATACCATTAGCTGTTTTGCTCTTAAGAATGATGTAATCCAGTGTTTCCCAGTAATCCAGTCCATGTTTTTGCTCCCTCTGAGCCCCTTCCCAGGAGCAAAACATGGAATGTTTGTGGATCCCCGAGGACTGTATTGGGAAACACTGATCTAATCCAATAGGATTCAGTGCTATATCTCTGATTCAAACCATGTTACCTTGACTGTAACATCCATCAGACCACCATTACCCCACCCACATATGGGGCACTATGACATCTTCTAAGTCATGCACACAAGAAAGGACAGTGGATAACATTCTGACTCATTCAGAACACATATAAGGGATACTGTTTCTCATGTTTCAGGATAAATGCTCAAAGGGAAGGTGCCCTTTGATATTTTTATGCCACTCACTAAAGATCCTCTCTGTCCTTGACAAAAAAGTATTCTGAGATAATGGCAGTTGGCAGATAGGATTTATTCACAGACAAAAATAAGGACGGGGGTTAGTAATGTAGATGAGGTGGAGAAGCAGAGCCTACCTGCGTGTGAAGGTTGACCATGTCCGCCTCCATCTCGTTATTGGATTCGTTCAGCTCATTGATCTCTTTGTTCAACTGTTTGATATCCTCATCATTATCCAGAACTGAAAACAGGAGGAAAAAAAAGTATAAAGAACCAGTAGTGAAGGTTTAAGAATCAAATGACACTTCTACATGTCTAATGAACAATCCAGCTACGAGGAACTAATGTACTTGTAGACCTCACTGGTGGCAATTTTCTGAATAACACTGGGCAACAAAGATTTTGTCAAAGAACAATTGTGTGTGGTGTTTTTTTTTTTTACAAACTCTTTAAATGCTGATTTCAGAAATGCACTCAGAATGTAAAAGATAAAAAATAAAAAAACATTTTATTTTTATTTTTGAACATTTTTCAGGCTTTACAGAATTGTATAAATCTAAGTATAAGTCTGTATAAGTCTGTTTCGCCAGAGGACATCTCTGATATGGAAAAATTATATGAAGGCTAGCGGAGTCCCAGTATGGTTGTTGACTCTGCTGGACCCTTAAGCAGGATGTTTCTAAGGCCAGATACATAAAATCATACACGTCTACCTTTTAGATGAGTCTCGTTCACCATTAAGGTTTAATCATTTGTCACGCAAAATCCTTGCTTCAAAAGGAGATTCCGATAAGAAGCATACAGTTACCGTTAGATTCACCTATTTTGATTTGTGTGACAAAAAGGAAGTAAAAACTCATTGACCAGAGGAATCAGTTAAGGTTTAGCTGAGTTCTGCTAGGGACGGTGACGTCACCCTGACTGACAGTCCCAGGGCCTTTGCTCACCATCGCTGGAGCGGAACTTGGTGCTTAGGTACTCCTCTCCTGGACATTTGGCCTTCTTCTTGGCTAGGGATGCCCTGGGACAGCCAGAGAGGCTGCGAGAACAAACACACGGGTCAGATGCAACATCCCAGAGAAGCAGGTACTGAGCAGTGGAATGTGTTCCTTTAGCCTCACCTGCGGTGGGTGAGGAAGCTCCCGTTGGCGTGTCCCGAGCCATCGCAGCCTGGGGTGGGGCAGGTGGGGCCGTCGGTCTTGAAAGACTTCCACGAGAAGGGGGAGCCGTTGAGTATGCCGTCCTTCTGCCGACGCGCCGCCAGAGGGCAACCGTAGGCGCTGCGATGGGTGGCGTACTTGCCGCTGATGTGGCCCAGACTGTCGCAGCCTGGCACTGGGCATCTGTTGGCATAGAAACAGTTGGAAGCAGAGCAGGAGCCAAAGGGAAGGGAGAGACAGCTGGAAACATGAGTGAAGACAACCGAACAAAACATTCAGTTTGTCCATCACTCAGTATTGCCTTCACCATTCGGTGTAAAGGCTGAAGAAAACACCAACCTAAGTTGAACAGGCATGGCATAAGGTGTCACTCCACAAAGGAAGCATTTACAACCATTACAACCGTCAGTCGTCGGCCATCCTTTACCCCACCATATGGAGTGTATGACCCTTGCACTATACCACCCTTTACACAAGCTACCAGTTAAATGGTACAAACTTAATAAGCTCCGAGTCTTCCTTGTCATCCTTGGTTGGTGTGGTCTTCATCCCTCCTTTCTTAGCACGTGGACACCCAGACAGACTGAAGGAAGAGACCACAAATCTCACTAAAGGAAACAGGGACTACCTTCAAAATGGTTTTGGCGTGGGGCGAAAAAAATAGGTTGTAAGGCTTATTCTACAATAATCCCACCAACCAAAAAGTAATTATAATTAAAGATGAGGAGACCTGGAACACTGAGCCAGTCAATAGAAGTAAAATTCTAAGTCCTTTGAGTGAAATGATTGAAGAAGGGATCAGAGACCCACTGAGTGTCAAAAGAGAGAAATGGGAGCCCCATTTCTCCCAGCAACGTACCTTCTGTGGGAGGCATAATTTCCTGTGATGTGACCTGAACCATCGCATCCTGGAGTGGGGCACCTGTCAGGAACAGGCGGGATATTTATTACATTTCCTTCAAAAGCTCTGTACTTCAGCATTAACTTGAACCCTAAATGTATTTCACCACTTACACAAGATCCAGACTCATTAACTACCGATTATTTTTTTCTTGTCCAACATAGATTTTGTTCCAGCAAACAAATGATCAATGATCAAGGATCATGTTTAATGCAGCTAAATCTGAAAGGGGGCAGTAAGTGAAACAGTGAAGCAGCCACAGAGAGTAGCAGTAACAGAGCATCAACAGAAGAGGGAAATAGTAATAGCAATTTCAAATGAATGAGCACCGTTAGCATTGAAGTAATCGCAAGCAGCACAGTAATAATAGATATTACATCAAGCATAGTTAACAGTGGAGAGGGAGCAGTCCATGCAGCAACAGCAGAGTGTATCAGTATTTGTAATTAACACAGAATAAGCACAGTTAGTGGTGAAATACCTGCAAGCAGCAGTAGTAATAATAAGACAGCAGTAAATATAATTATCAGTGTCACCAACTTCGGTCAGCTGGCTGGCGTGAGCTTTTCAAGGCAAGTCTGCGCAAGTTTTATTACCTTGTAAATAGTCTGTAGGATCTGCAAACTACCGCAACGGTTTTGATGCAGCTAATTTTAGTTTTATAATGGAATAATATAGATTTGCCTTAAGATTTTTCGCGTGACCGCGGGAGTCTGAAAGCGTGAGTGTCACGCCTGATGCGTGAGAGTTGGCAACCCTGAATTATTAGTGGGGAGACAGTGTGGAAATGGTGCCGAGAGGGAGTAAGAATAACAATGCAGTAATAGTGCAGTGGGCTTTGTTAACGGTGCAGTATCTGCAGTTAACAATGCAGCGGAGCAGAGGAGGGAAAGTGCAGTGCAGACATACTTGAGTTCAGCAGAGTGGGCTGCCATGAGGGTCCGCAGACTCTTATCAGCAAGAGGACAGCCAGACAGGCTGAGAGAGAGAAGGAGAGAAGGCAAGAAGGGAAAAGGAACAACAATCGTGGGAGGGGTAAGTATTCTGTCAGAGCAGTTTGAGGAAACACAACGAAAGGATAATTAAGCCCTTTTAAAAAGCGCTGCCTGTGTCTTTCGCGCTGATCTGAACAGCGGCTTTTGGGTGAGACCAGCGTTTTAGCGCCTGGGGCTGTGCGAGCCAGCCAGCGGCAGGCCGGCAGCACAGAGATGTCCGCGGTGGCTGACGCGCCACAGTTAGTGACACCCAGCTAGCTGTGACAGGCTGAGCTGAGAGGGATGCACAGTGCCGGAATCACAGAGCACAGGAAGACAGAGCAGGCATTCAGAAGCTGGGTGGGCTTGTGTCAACATAACATAGGAGATACCAAAAAGAAAAAGCTGATGAGCTTCCTGATAAAAACATTCACTCAGCTTCTGCTAACAGGGGTGGCGTAAAGGTGTGGAGAAATCAGGACGATTCCAAGGGCCCCTGAAAAATTTGTAACATAACTGAATTGGACTTGAGCTGGGAGCCCAAAATCTCTAGCAGTGCTCCTGTCTGCTAGTACAATTTACAGAAATTTATACATTTATCATCAAACTTACCAAAAAAAAAAACTTCCATTTCCCCAATATAATTCCATGTAACACAAGTAATCTTTTCAGGTTAAGCTTAATAGTACTACCTTCACTTGCTATGGATGTTTATATCTGAATTTTAAAAACCCTTATATTGCCTATTATGTGTTATAGCAGAATGTGCATTTATAAACATGAGGGGGGGTTAGGATTTGTGCGAGGGGCCTTACTTTTGAGGTATAACTGATTTGCATACATAGTTCTGCTGGAGTCAGCATTTGTAATCAACATATTTCTATTGAACAATATTAATTGCTATTTCATTTTTCTTTTGGGAATAATTATTTCAGAAAGTTTTACAGCACCCAAGGCTGGGATGGTAACACTACAACAGATGTTTAGGCTGTTTAAGCCGTATAATAACAGGCCAGAACACCTGGCATCTATATTCAACAAATATCTCCTAGACAGACTTTTATCTAGAGCTGCTGTGGTCATTTCTCACAAGCTGTGATCCTGTTATGTAGACTGCCTCTAAAGAGGGGACAGACCAACAGCGGCTTGATTTAAGGCCGGGAGATCCACATTTGGCTTATTTTAGCCTATTAGTCTGCTTGTTTACCTGCGGTGAGATGCATAGTTTCCAGTGATGTGACCACTTCCATCACAGCCTGGAGTGGGACACCTGCAGGAAGTCAAAGTGGCCAACAGGTGGCGTCAGAGGTATTCATACTGACTCTACACTTCCTGTCCCTGAGGCAGTATTTGGCAGCCTAAGTCAAAATAATGTGCTGACTTTAGTGCAGGTAAATGTATGCATTATGATAGTTCTTGTCTTTATGAACCGCAATGGATACATATGAGGTTTGGACTCACAGCAAAATGTCTTTCTTGTTGTCCTTGGGCTGGAATTTGACCTTGAAGGTGGGTGTGGTGACCTCGCCGGGGTACTTCCTGTCTTCCAGGCTGTCCTCCATCATCTCGTGCTCATCGTCATCTGATGCAGCTTCAGACTGCTCGGCCTGCTGTGCCTGCATCCCACAAGACCCAGTAAAATTAGCGTACATTTAGCACTTGCTCCTCAAGAACAAAAATTATGGAGTATCAATTCATAAGTACATAGCAGCAAGAAATCCAGGTAAAAGAAGGGAGCAGGACAGGGAGCTGACCTCCTCTGTCTCCTCCTCTCGTTGGCGATTGGGTGTGGTATAGTCCAGAGGCCCCTCCCACTCCTCCTGCTTGTGGGTGTGTCCTGAGTGAGACGAAGCGTTTATTCCACTACTGCCTGGGGTCTGTGAGGAGGAGGATGAGGAAGAGGAGGAAGGCTCTGGGGACAGCACCCCAGGACTGGAGCCCTCTTTCTTGACAGGCTTCTTCATGCTCAGGTCCAACGTGCCATTCTCATCCACCTCGATGTCCATGCTCTAGAGAGGGCAGCAGAGGTCACTGGTGTTAAACTGACAGGAAGGGGGCGGGGCTAAGGTATGGCATGGGGGGTGAGGTTTCCGAAGCAGACCTGGCCGACGGCATCCTGCTGCTTGGTGCTGAGGTTCTCCGGCATCTCCCAGCAGCGTGTGGACAGGTTGAGGATAGCTGTGGCGGCCATGTGCGCAGCCTCTGCATCGTGAGAGTAGTCATACCCACTGGAGGAGGAAGAAGAGGACGAGGAGGACTTGGCGTAGCCGCCCGGTAGGCTGTGGCTGGGAGACGGTTTGGCTGTGAATCAGAGATCCAGACAAGAACCAGGTTGAGTAACAGACTGTGAAACTCAGAGCAGATTTACCATGGGATTGAATTTAGACTGAGCCAGCATTAAACTAAACCAGACAACTAGCAGCTTCTCCTAAAACTCACTTGCAGAACCAACCATTACTTATTATATTGTGAACTGTAAATATTTAACTGATATTTTTAATATTTATTTTATATTGTACATTGCTCGTCATATTTTTGGACTATAAACACTTTATAATGTATCAATTGCACCTTATTACGATGATATATTGCTACTGTATACATGTGCAAACTTGCAGTACTGTGCCAAAGTCTTCAAAGGTATTCACAGAAATCGTTTGAAATGATCTTCATGTTGGTGTAAAACTATGATATTGTCTGTCGAAGTGTGTCAGCTTAGCCATTTCAAAACCTATCCTGAAATTACTGCAGTATTTGCAGCAACTGTCCAAAACAGCCATGAATTTTGACTCAACCACAATCCCACCTTGTTTGGCTAATCAGTACCCCATAATTAATTAATCGAGCTGGCGGAGAAATGTAATGAATACATAGAATGACTGAGGTGCCTCTGAGGAGAGGGTTTGGAACCAAAACAGAAGTTATCTAGCTATCCAACGGCATAGCGTTTATTTTTGAAGAACACACAGAATTCTTGTGTCACTGTTAAATTGCACACCTTATAATGTTGAATTGTGTTTTTTTTCTGAGCAGATATACAATTACTACCAAGATAAATAGCCATAAACATTTTCTTTGACTGCCTTAAACTATTGCACAGTACTGTACATGCACATACATTCTTGCACATTTTTTACTGCATATTTTATGTAAATGTTTTCTGTCGTGTGTAAATGTCTTATATTTTTGTTATCCTGGGAACCACACACTATATCTCGTTGTACTTGTACAATGGCAATAAAGGCTACCTTTTGTTACATTATCTTATTAAATGTGATGTATGCAGGTTTTGCCTGCTATGGGTAACCTGTTTATATTTTAATCTTCAATAAAAGTCGCAGTGAGAGAAGGGCCTCACATTTCAGTGCCTTCGGTGACATCTCTCCTGGCTGCAGCTTCGGAGCGAGCATCCGTTTCCCGAAGACCTGGACGTCGAAGCTGGCGTAGTCAAAGGAGACCTTGGAGTACTTCTCCAACTCCTTGGCCAGGTTGGCCCGAGGGGTGGCGGGGAGAGTGCTGGGCCTGTAGCTGCCATACTGGGGGATCTCCAGTTGCTTTACAAAGCACATTGGCCTATGGGATGCAGAGAGGTGTGAGCACTGGTGTGGATTCTCTCCTGATTGGGGGGTGGAGGCACGAGGCAGGGCAGGGCTCACCTGAGGACCCTGTCCGAATGAGGGCTCCCTGCGGGTTGGGGTGTCACCTGTTTCTCATGAGTTTTGGACAGCTTCTCTGCTGCTGCAATGGGGCACCCTGACAGACTGGGAGGACAGGGGACACAGACCAAAGTCAAGCACTGAGGACAGGGAGTGTTCGGACTTGAAGATGCCTGCTGTTTGTAGCAAAGCATCACTGTCCGTTGAAAACCGCGTATGTTTAGTAGTAATAGTAGTAGTAGTAGTAGTATTTCATTAATCCCAAAGTAAATTCCAAGAGCGCTACAGAAGCATACGTAAAAGTGACATAAAACTGTACATATACAACAGAAAAAGACACATTACTATACTGTACTATACTGTACTATACTATACTATACTATACTTTACTATACTTTACTATACATCCATTCTCCTCTGTCTACAGATAGTGTTTGAATATAATTAACCAATGAAAAGATGTTTTATGAAGGCATCTATTTAAGTGATTTTTATATTTGTACTAGGTAATATTTGTATTCATGAGGGTTGTTTGTATGGATTACTTTAAATTGCTTATTTTAACAACTTGTAACATTGTTACCTAATAGCTAGCTAACGAACATCATTGTTAAATGTGAATACAAAGTGACATTAGTTTGTGTATTGCCCTGCTGACAACAATCCACGCAAGTCAATTTAAAACATTAAACCGTACACTGATGGCTTCCTAAAGATAGGTTTCTATTTGTGGTGCTATGGGTGCCTCATTACGTTATTTTAGGTTTATTTTGTAAAGAAGTCTCTGAGAAAATGTGTTTTTTCACAGTGCTGGAATAATGCATTTTTGGAGATGCGTGTTTTTCAACTGACAGTGAAGAAATGGTTGTATTTTCACAATTCACCACAAGGGGGCAGGGGAAGCTGGACGCCTCCAGGTGTAATTCACAGACACCCAGGCAGAGCTTCTGTCTGCTTCAGACAATGAGGCACCGAGAGCCCTACCTCCGGTGGGTGTTGCGGTTGCTGTTGACGTGTCCCTGTCCTGTGCAGCCAGGCGTTGGACACTTCAGCACATTCTCATGCATGGCCAGGACTGAGCGAGGAGACACAGAACGTTATTTCACTGCGAAATGCCCTCCAGTGGGAAGCACTCTCTGTGCTGCAGGATCTTGCCCCATTCATAAAGCAGCAGTGGATGACTGTGGAAGCGAATACTCACTCTCTGGGGGTATCCTGTCTTTGTGGGGGCAGCCAGACAGACTGCGGTGGTGGGGATACAGTCCGGTCACGTGACCCGTTCCATCACAGCCAGGGGTGGGGCATTTGACCTCCTTTTTCTCTGCCCGAGAGCTTTCTGTGGGGGCGGGGGAGATGGAGGAGGGGCCACACACATCAGCTCAGGAAAGACGAAAACTTTCAGCAACAATGGTGTGCAAATAATTGCGTCTTTGCCATTGAATCGACTTTAGCACTTAAATTGATTAAATTAAATTTGCCCATGGTTGATCCAATTCAGCATCCTCTCCATCTAGACAATGTTAACAAGGTACTGCCTGGCTGCAAACTTATATACACAGCAGACTGACAGGAACAGGCTTGGGATCCCTGGAATTTGGGAGCCACACCACAGCCCTGCTCATTATTAGCAAGGCAGTGGGCTAATTGAAACTGGCCCGATGCCAAAGCACAATGAAGACCTTCAGGTTTCTCCATCAGGTAGTGTGCCTGGGAACAAAAATGCATTTTTCCTTTCTGGCTCGCTTCAGTTCATCCCTTCCTTCTCGTGTCGCTGTCTGTGTTGCTTTGATTCGCCGTATGCTGACACTGAAGGCAATTCACCAGAAAGCAACCTTCAAAGCGACCTTAGAAGCTACCTTAGAAGCTCGAAGCATAATTAAAAACAGAAGAGATTGAAGAAGCGTGGGTGTCTGAACGAGGCCCTACCTTTGCCAAAGGAGTAACCCTTGCGCTGGCCGTCGGTGCGTTTGCCCATCTGCTCGTCCCCGTGACCCTGCCTGGGCGTGTCTGACCCCTGCTGGGCCTTGAGGGCGATGGCCTGTTCCAGGAGGCCCAGGTTACCCCGTCTCATGTCATACATTTCTATATCATCTGAAAGGACGGATTGCTGCGACGGGCCGCCATCTTCGTCATCCTCGTCGTCATCTTCCTCCTCTTCCTCCCCATCATCTTCCTCCTCCTCCTCCTCTCTCTCTGAGCCCTCTGACCGCACTTCAATAACCATGGATGGCATGGCCTTGTGGGAAACGTAGTCCTCTTCAGCGAAAGGGAGCTGGCCCCCTCTATCCTGTGTTACCATCTCAGACCCCGGAGTTGTCACACCACTGATGCTAACAGAAGGCTCAGCACAGTTCTCCCCATCGCCATCTTCATTGCCTTCTTCCTCGTCTTCATCATCCTCTTCTTCCTCTGCAAGGTTCTCCCCAGGCTGCACTCTGTCCCCTGGTACATTTGAGTAGCCGCCACTGAAGTATTGGTGGTCTGAGTTGTCTTTCTGGCCTGCACGTTGACTCTCTTCCTCTCCATCGCCTTCCTCTTCTTGCTCCTCACCCTTCCCAGCTTGCCCATCTGCCCTGTCTGCCAAGGGTGAATGTGTCATGTCCTCCTCCTTCTCCTCGGTCATCGCAGTCACTTCCTGACTGTCCCTCTCCTGGGGGGGCGGTAGCTGGAGGGGCATGGGCCTGCTGTTGGCGTCACATGCTTCAGCAACCTGGCCAAGGTGAAGCAGTGAGTTGGCTGCCATCTCGTGACGGCTGGAGTATTGTTCAGTGTGGCCCTGGCCAGAGAGTACGGCCCCGCAGGTTCCAGCAGGTGAGGGTTCTGCCTCTTTACACTTCTCTCCGCTTAGGTGTTCCATCGGTGGCTGTCCTTCTGCAAGAAGAGAGTGGAGTTCAGAGGTCAGGAGGGTGTGGAGGTCAGAGGTCAGGAGAGAGTGGAGGTCAGAGGTCAGGAGGGTGTGGAGATCTATGGGTAACTGGCCAAGATCTGAGTAGATGCCTTTATCTAAGATTCATTTATGTCATGTGCGATTTCACACACATTTACTAAAAACAGTCTGAAGATCTTTCAGCTGGACTTCTGACAGAATCCGAACTTTCTCTTCATGAAAGCAACTCTTCCACAATGCAGGGGTTACGGGTGCAGGCCCCCCGTGGTCTGGAAAAACCTTGTGAAATTTTTTGGTCCCCTTTGCGAGCAAAGCAAGCATGCGGCAGGACACAATATATGTGAAACACAAAATCACTGCTAGATATGTATGTCTATTATATATAGATTGTACATATAGTTCATGCATTTATGAGTTACTAAGCTTTTTGTGTGTCTGCTGGCTTTCGTGTTTTGCCTGTGGCTTTTGCGTCACTCCCCAAAAATTCCAATATTCCTGTACAACTTCTTGTGCCGACCCCCGCGATATATCGAAACTGCGATGGGCAAAGTCGTGACGCAGAAGGGTTGACTTCACCCTTATCAGCCATAACATCAGTAGGTGCTCCAGTGTCCCCTATAACCCTCTAATCCTGACAATGTGTCATGGCTCGTGTCACTCTTGTCACACTACCACCTTCGGCAAGCTCTGGTTCCGCTGCTCTTTCTCCTGCCTCGGCTTGCTCCTCTTCCCTTCGCTGCTCCTCTTCCCTTTGCTGCTCCTCTTCTCTCGGATCCGGCTCCTCGCTGCTCCCGTCACTGTCCACGCTGTAGCCCTCGTCTAAGGCCAGCTTCAGAGGGTTGGCCTTCTTTTTGGAGTTGGGTCGGCTCTGGTCTGACTCTGCCTCTGACTCCGCCTCCTGATTCTTCCTCTTACGGGGCGGTGGGCTGCTAAGGCCACTAATGAGGGGATGTAGGAGCAAAAAAGTGAATCACATGCCAGCACATACACAGACACACAGACACATATGAATGGTGCACATCATAAGGCCACACTGCATGGAGACTCTATGGTCTGCCTACAGTGGCAAAGACAGCACACATTGACATTGAGTTAATCTGACAAATCATTGTGCCACCATTTACCTAAAGCCATACAGATAACATTACAGCCAAACTGAGCCAGATGGGACACATTTACAGGAAATGGGCATGAAAAAAAATGCTCATTCGACTTCCAGGATTGACATTGCTGCAGTACATAAACTGAATTGTTCCAGTTTTGATTTGTTATGCTGCTAGAGCGTCCTTCTTTACTTATCTAATAAAGTGCCACTTCATGGAAGTAATGACAAGCAGCTTAGGTTTGTAAAAGACAAATATGTCAAAGTATTGGAAAACTGATACTTAGGCAAAGTAAGAAATCATACAGTACCGGTCAAAAGGAAGTACACATATAGTGAAAATCATTTGTTTTTCAAAAAGACCTTTCCACCTCTGTCTGTAATGAATTACTTCCCAAACACTAGTGGTAAGTATCATCTCGCGAACAAAGAAAGAGATTGAGTGCTGTGACAGATGACCTGGCCCCCACAATCCCCCACCCTAAGCCCTATAGAGCTGGTTTGGGATGAGCTGGATCGAAGTGTAACAGCAAGGTAGCCAACTTTTGCCCAGAACTTGTGGAGACTCCTTCAGGACTGTTGGAGAAACATTCCAGGTGGCTACATCTGGAAGCTGGTTAAAAGAATGCCAAGAGTCTGCAATGCTGTCATCACAGCAAAAGGGGGCTATTTTGAAGAGATGAAAAATCTGAGATGTTGAACACTTCTCTTGATTGTTGCAGCATTTGATATATATTACTTCATTGCTTTGAGGCCTTTTATTATAATGTGAATGGCGTAGATAAAATAAAAACAAATGCATTAAACACAGGTGTGCCCAGACTTTTGACTGGCACTGTAAATAGTTTTGGTCATGTCTTAAAGCACTGGCATAAATGCAAGTGAACTGTACAGTGAACGGCCTTTTAAAACATCTGTCCATCTCCCGTAACGGCTTATCCAGTACTGGGCAGTGATGAGACTAAAGCAGCTCAGGGCACGAGGCAGGGGACGTACTGAACAGGATTCCAGTCTATCACCGGGCAATAGCATACCCCTTTCATGCATTATCTTATTGTCACACTAGTATACATAATGTTCTTTAGAAGATATATACTACTATTTGATTAGTGGTCTGTCTATATATCAAAAATATATGTATTGTCTTCATATTTGAAGAGCATAAGACTGGCAGTCTGTCCAGGGTGTATCCAATGTCTGCTGGAATTCCCCCACTCCCCATATACCCATAACCCAGACCAGGATCATAGGATGGAGAGATACATCTACTGGGCATGCTAGCAATATCCATTTATATATTTACATGCATTGCATACGGTCCTTTAACAGCCTATCGGTTCATCACAAAAGTTATGATGCTATTTTGTTTCCTTCTTCACATTGGCTAAAGTAAAGTAACACATACTTCTGCATTTACTGCATTTACCTATTGATGGGTTAGTTTTTTTACCCAATTAAAAATATGTTCTATACTAATAATACTTAATAAAACCTAAAAATTTCATCAAGAACTATTTAGGGGTCAAGGCACTATAATAAATGCCTGACTCAGCCACTAAGGGGAAGCAAAGAGACACACATTGAAATTATTCTTTGCACAGCCTCTAGGGGGAGACATTGAGACTTTATGAGATACTGACCACAGGGGTGCTCAATGGCACAATTGAAGGCTTAGTAAAGGGAGTCATGAATACAACATCTCTATAATGATGGTCTTAATTAGCCTATAAGGCTGCCCTGTAGGTCATGCTTGGCACAAGGTCATTTGTTAGACTCATGTCGCTCATCCAATCAATGCTAGGGGATAAAGGGACATGAAATCTTGTAACTGTAGAACTCAATGTTTAACATAATTTGGTAATTTCTTACTGACCTACCTCACTATTTTATTGCCATTTTCAATTAAATTCCTGTAGAGAGTGATGTGGCTCATGCCAGTCTATCATTGCTATTGCTGGGGTTTATGGTTTGTGTTTATATGTATGTGTGAGAAATACTTCAGTTTATTGATATTTTATATTTTCATATTTAAGATTTATGTAACTTTTTTGATTAGTTATACCCTGGGCCTCAGTTACACATCATCATCATCATCATAATGATCATCATCACCACCATTATCATCATTATTAACCAAAGAATATTGCTAGAATATTCAGAATTCGCTTTTTGCTTTGATAGGAGTGTTCCCACTGGGTCATGTTTCATCCTCTTTGTCAGCATCGGGGTACATGAGTTTGTATGGTTGGAAATTAACCAGGGACCTCTTCAGGAACACAGAAAAAGCAATAAAATGCAATAAAATGTGCCTGTGCAAATATCAAACAGTGAATATTTTGAAGAAGAAACAATGAAGGCAGCAGCCCAGGTGAATGACCTTACATGCTGATTCTAAGCAGACAACCCTAACAAATACATCCTTTGCCAGTAACACTGTCCTTTGTGCTGGTCTGTATGTATGTGTGTGCACATGCCCAGGCCTTGTGCTCCGTGCTGTCTGGGGTAGTCACTCTGAAATATCCATGAAAATGGCCTCTTACCTTAAGTCTTGTCCTATGAGTTCAACAGGCACTGAAAGGTAGAGAAAAACAGTGACGATTATGGAATGTTACCTGTCCAGATATCAGAATGCCTTGTTCACTCCAAATGTACAACATATGTAGAAAAGAACCCAGTTAAGTAAAACAACTGCAGATATGTTGTTAAAAAATTAAGCTATATTTGTACATGAATCCGTTTTGCAGCCAAACCATGTCTAGTGCACACAACAAGCCAGAGGCCTGGATTTGGCTGTAAAAGCCCACAAGGTGACATTAGCGCACAGCTGGCTTATTTAGGTCAGCAGGAAGCTAAACGATGCCTGCCGTGCTTTTAAGACGAGCTTGTGGATGGGCCAGTCGGTTTTTAAGCATGAACCACTGATCCCGCATCCTCAGCCTGTGGCGCGGAGCTCACCTCGGGTCCCTTTAGAGCGTGTCCGTGTTCGTTTGTCGTCGCCGGCCAAGCTCATCTGCCAAGGACATGACGGCACGTACACACACACACACACACACACCCACACAACACACGGAGACACACAGAGTATCGAACTGAATGGATGGGGCACATAAAGCAGAAACCGCTATGCCAGTCAAATGTGGACAAAAGCTGCACATCAGGGCAGGTGGATAATACAGTGCCATACATGCAACAAATACTCAGACAGCCCTATAGACCCCCAGGGGGTGCAGCCCTATAGACCCCAGGAGGGTACAGCCCTATAGACCCCGGGAGGGTACAGCCCTATAGACCCCGGGAGGGTACAGCCCTATAGACCCCGGGAGGGTACAGCCCTACAGACCCCAGGGGTACATTATCCCAGATAGTGAGGCCCCCAAGCTTACTTCTTATACACAGGTCACATATTTCACATGCATGCACATCTAGATATAAAAAAGTATACACCAAGGGCGTGGCTTTGGGTATGGACAGCAGGGACATGTCCCACCAATACTGTGAGATTAACATGTGTGTTTAAGGGGGCGGGAGGTTCAGGGCTGATTTGGTCCCTATCCGTGTTGAAACCAAAGCTATGCCCTTGATATACAGAGAAATAAACCAACACAGGCACACACTGTGTAGGAGAGAGTTTGTTATTGGGGAAGACATGACATAATATAAAGGTAAGGGTCTATTTATGGGGAAGACAAATTAAGCCAAATTAAACATTGGGGAGTACATGGTCCCCTCCCCCCTCCACCCTATGGTTCCTACATCCCTGTACACACACACACACACACACACACACCACAGGCAAATGCAGAGGCAGCAGGAAGGAAGTGCAGCGTCACTCACTTTGATGTGCGCCCTCTGCAGGCCCCTTGATGACCTGCAGCTGCTGATCTTTTCCCCCCTTGTCCACCTCTGATTCAGCAGCTTGCCTCGGAACTCATTTTCTGTTGGACGGCAGACAGCATAGCAAGCATTAAAAGTCGTCAGCCTCTGCAGTATATAGGGTGTCCCCCGGCCCCCTCAGGACTTCTCAGCACCTACACGTCAGTGCGAAGGGCACAGAGCGAGCTGGACAAAAGGTACCGCTGCAAACCGCATGAGTCAGGGCCGGTCCTGAGTGCTCTGGCACCCTAGCCGAGATTCTGAGGAACACCCCTGTTTCCCTTGACCCTTCACCCCAACCCACCACCCGGAGCGGGTGAAAAACTTTTTTTTTCGATTAATCTATATCAAAAACAACGAAATACTAAAACTAGCGTAAACTTATTAATATCTATTCAAATGGGGCCCTAGGCGATTGCCTATGTCTCCTATGTGGGGGGGCAGGTATTTGTTGATCTAAATAAAGACACCACAGAACAGCCTTCTGGGTAAAGGATGCTATGAAAACCAGTTAATAAGGTTTATGTGGATGTTTTACCAAGTAGGAACACCGGTGATGAAACCTTGGGAATGTGGGGGTGGCATGATGTAACAAACAGGTAATCCTGAATATGACAGTCCTGTACCCTCTACGCCTCTACAATACACTCCCCATCGCTACAGCGCCCCTCTTTGTGGTGTCAATAGGAGCCCTTCCGAAACTAGAGCTTCTCGCATCTTCCGGGGCTGAAGATACGCCTCACGGTGAACATCCCCCATGCATGTGCAGCCCCAGTCCAGCATCTTGCACAGCTGAGGGGACCGCCTACTGCTCTCTCCCGGTGCACTGACACCGTGGAAGACTCGCCCAGCCCATTTCCCCTGTTTTTAGAGCCCCGCTGAGGAATCATTTCCAGCAGTAGGTGAAGCACGCGCGTGTGAAGATGCAGTATGACTGCACTGATTGCATGAGTGCGAATGCAACATGACTGTCCCCACAGCTTGTCACGGCTGCCCGGATGGGGGAAGTCATTACGCTCAATTTCAATGGGGTACGTCAGACAGAACACCCACTGCCTGAAAATGCAATACACTTTACCAGACATGCTCACAGCCCTGACAGGACACCTACTGACACACTGCACAATAGCCACCGATGTATATTTGATGGGACCACGGTCAAAATTTTTTAATTCTGCTAATGCGTGCGCACACTCGCTTGCTCTATTTCTATCCGTCTCCCCTGCTCACTTAAACAGCCATCTGACACACTTAAAGGGAAAGTGCAGCATGGTCATAAACCACACTGCTGAAAATGTATTTATTGATTTAAATATTGATCCTGTCAACCACCTTCAATTTTTGATTGATTTTCCAGATATTGTTCAGGCTTTTAGTTTTAGGTCTTGACTAAATCTAGCCCTAATGCCGCGCTCCTGGGGAGAGGAAGAAAAATGGCCTGGTCACAGCCAAACCCCCTCCCTATCACATATCAGGACCTAACTCCGTTATTACAGACTTGGTGAGTATTGTTTTACAGGAAGTAAGATTACACCCCTATTAGACGCTGCTTAAATTGATGCAAGCTCTTTATATCAGTGTTAAACTGTTATCTTGTAAGCTTATGACCGAGAAGATCTTTTTAATGTAGCAACTGTGCTTTAAGAACAGCTCACCCACGCTTTCCTGTTTACTTGCATCAGCTGATGGACCTGACAGTTTTAGGTAGAAGAGAGTTACTGTGTAAATTTGGAAAGTATGCGTGCAGCATTTAAAAAGAGCATCCACTCATAAACTATGCATCTGATGGGGCAGTGGGGGTATATAAGAGCTGTAATGGACTTAACAAGGGCATCCTTGGTATGAGCTTTAAAGGTCCATCCAAGTCATTCCGGAGGGCTCTCCTTCTCGCAGAGAATTTAACTATGTGCACAAAAATGATGAGGGAGGTAAGATGAGCCTATAATGGCCATGCTGAGCTCCCTTTCCATCCTAATAGCAAGACATCATATTAAAATGAGGTGGGGATTCATATGATTTGTGTCCTTCCCTTTAATCACATGATGAGCTATATGTCATGTGATTTGCTTTCAAGTCTGGATGCCATTACCAGAAATGAGAAAAACTGTAAAGTCTCTCCAGATAATGCAATGTTCGATCTGGCTGCGCTGGTTTTTGCCAGAAACAAATGGGGAAATCCCGAGCAAGAGTAAAAAGTAAATTCATTCCGGAAGAGTGGAAACCATTTGCTGAGAAACCACCGCCTAAATCCAGTTTCACATTTTATAAATGAAATCCAATTTTCCACCAGCCATGATAATCAAATCACACTTCTGCAGGCCTTAAGCTGGATAATAGCTGGATAGTTTAGGAAAAGTATCAGTGCATAAATGTGTAATATTGTAAATATGTAACTGACACAAGTCTTTTTATATTAAAACATCTTCTGAGCAACAGATCAATGTAAAATATGCTACACAGAATAGACAAATAAGAACAGCACGGTAAGATTCACAGTGAAAAAGCCCATGTATTACAGCGTGATTGTGTGTATTAGCTAATTTATTAACTACAGCATAAGGATGATGAAACCGGATATGAATTAATCAGCACCGCCTGCATGTATTCCTTCCATGCCATCACAACTGCATATTCCAAGACTTCTTGGTTTACACGCTGCGAACGACACGTTTTATTGATGACTCGGACTGTTCTGACCCACGTGCCCGTTGCTGTGGTGACGACCGCGTGTTTTATTGATGAGACCCCCATCTAACTCTCGGAAGTCCGACCGCGTTCTGCTTTCCTGTTCAGCGAGGTCCCTGATTCACCTTCCATGCATCACGTTCCCACTTTTTGTAGAACGGCCACAACCAAAATGGAAACTAACCGCGACGGCCATCCGAGTTTACGAAGACAGAAAACGCTAATTGGGTTTCATTTTTACAAAAATGCAAAACAAATCACAATTATTGCTATTGAAGTCAATATTATTACTGTTTGTTGCTTTAAGTTGCGTTTTTATCTTTGGTATACCTCTATAGCTGAATGACATTTTAACTGCAGTTTGCAAATTATGTAAATGTAACCTAACTGAAAGAAATTCTGGAAAAAAATCATGGATATCAGACGTAAAGTAGTAGAAGAAATGAAGACTGTTTTTAAGCTCTCTCGGTAGTCATCCTTTCTTTTCACAGAGAATGTTTTATATGCGGTTTATTGTAGCCTATTTAATTATTGACCTATTCTTTTTGTACAAGAACACTGCGAGCTCCCTACAAGTACTTCAATAATAAGTCTTTGGCCAGTATAGAAAAACAACGACCCTTTAAGATAATTTGATCGATACTGTACAACTTATTAAGTTAGGCAAAATTTATTAACCATATACAGCAAATGTTTTGGGGGGAAAGGAAGAGATTATTAAATAAGTAAGACAGACAAGGAAAACGGGCTTGATTTTTTCTTTAATAGTATAATTATCCTTAACGGCTGGTCTTAAAAGCACAGAGAGCGCTCTCTGGGTGGCAGGGCTATACATGGCCAGGGGCGTCCTCGCGCGATAGCCATATGTTGGCGTCTAACTAGTTTCCGTTCTTTGGCATCACGCTTCTCTGTTCTTCGAGGCATAGATGATACACCGATTCGTCATTTTAATACAACGGTAACCATATTTACGCGATTTTTTTGTTAATCGTGTCATTGTCATATAGCGGTCACAATGCAGGCAAAATATTCTTTTGTCTTGGTCTCGCTACATTTTTGTAGCCTTGTTATTATTTTGCTTTTAATTATTATGTGTTTGCACATCGACAAAAAATAAAACTGCAAATGTGTGAAACCCTTCCGAATTCAGTTTTATCATGCGTGTGAGTTTACTATATTAAACTAAATGCCAGCGACTTTACTGTGTTTATCTCTGGGAGTGGTTGACATCGGAAGAGCATTTACATTTTGTGTTTCGATACTGGAAATGGGATGACGGCCCCCTCCCCCACCTTTCACTTTTCTTTCCTAGAGCTATAGGAGCCGGGTGTTATTGTTCCGCCATAACCAAAAATAAACACATGGAACTAACTTTTGACCAGGGACGTCAATCCGCGATGGGCTACATATAATTTCTATAAATAAGAACTTCCGTAATTTTTTTAGGATTGTCATAGTACAATTGGCACTTAATAATACCAGAGTTTGATATGGAAGAATACAAAATATTGTATAATGAAACCGATTTAGCTAGATAAGACAAAGAACGAGGAATCAGAGGTTTATTTTCTTGGAAGTATTAGAGACACTGTTACGCTTCTGCCACGCAAAAGACAAATAAGCCCGAAAGAGATTTTTTTTTAAAAAAGCCCCTTATTATGAAATTAGCAGTATTAGACGTTTTTCACTTATTTTCCACATACCGGTATGCACATAAAATATAGAAATATTATACGATGGTATTATGCATAAAAATATTGTTTAACATGTTTGTATTATTAAGTTGCAGTCATCAAAATTGGTATAATTATATTATTGTCACTATGCTTTTAAACGGGAAACAATATTACCCGCAATTCCAGTAAAAATAGTACGGTGTTATCGAACTATTGCTTTATATTTTAAAATTTGGAAAACGAAGTACATTCTTTTATTTGAATATGCGTTGATGGGTTCGGCATTAACAAACCAGTGTGGCTGCGTAAAACACGGTAGCAATAGCTCTTGCTATTAGGCCTGGCTTTATAGACTGTTCTTTGACAAGAAGCAGAATGTGTGTCGGCGTCTTTAAAAGATCACCCACCGGGCGTCCATTACAGCGGACAAGAACATCGCATGTACATATTGAGAAGAACTGGGTTGAAACACCATGCCTTACAATAAACACAGCATGGAAATTATGCCTTACTGTAGATCGCAAACAATGAAAATGGTTTAATTGTTCAAGTGTGCTTACTTAATTTTATAATAGTAAATATAACAAATACCTTAAGAGGGTGATTTCCACAGAAGCCTTCCCTTTGGACAAGTGCAATGGCCCCTTTCGTCTTTATTTCATGAACTTCTATACGAAGCCCTGCACAACGTCCCGAATATGTCCGTTCCCGATTCGGTTTTCGTTATTAACATCCACCGTTATTCTGGTGTGGTCAAATAAAAATGTGAGGACACAATTCCGCCACGTCTCCGCCCTACAAAAGGTGGAAATCTCCGGGTGCTTTAACTATTACTTATTCATAGGAATAAACATGGCTTCATCTGCCTTTGCCAGCATGAAAACGTAATATTGACTTACCTTTCCCTTATGAGCCCCCCTCCCTCTCTGTGACATCACTGAAAAGCCGTAGTAAACCATACAACATAAGATGGGACGGGCTTCGGGCACCCCAGTGTAGCACGTAAACACACGGATTAATCCTTGTTGGAGATTGTGGATGATCTCCGTTTTACAGTACAATTTCGTTAAATAACAGGTAGGCTATGCGCTAAACAGCTATTTATTTTAGCGAGGCGGATTGGAGTAGAATGGTCTATTCTTGTATACTGTAGCCTACTATACACTGTATCGTTATAATGCCACGATAAATGTGACGGCATACTTGTGAGACAAGTGGACGAATTCGATTAAAACTAAGGTATACTTAACGAGCGACACTGAAAAGACAAAATAAGAAACGCAAGGTCTTTAATTCACATAGTCATTATTTTATAACTATATGTGCTCTCCAGGCATAGTAGTCCGCATATGTCACTAATGTTATCCAAGCTCCCCTCCCCCTACAATTCCTAGCAAATGGTACTATCCAACACTTCAAACAATGGACAGTCTAATCTCCTCTTGATTAAGATCCGACTATACTGGGATCATAAAGGCATCGTAAGATTATTCCCTTGTACAATACGCAATTTTATGAGGACAACGCTTGACTGAACTCAGGACTTTCGGAAGATAACCGACTAATGCAGCAGTTCCTGTTCAAGTAAGTGCATTTACTTTGCTGTGAAACACACACACACACACACACACAAACATATGTATATTATATGTATATTATATATATATATGCCTACACACACACGCGCGCGCCCATTATTAGCTCCATTGTATTAATCTCAAATGTTTCCTCAGGTATTCCATTTTTCTTGTTAGGTCACAAGTTATGTAGTTCAAATAGCAGAGTCGCGAACAGTAAACTAAGTATCTTAGCAATAATAATGAATCAATTTCGTGCAAGCGATTTTAAAGAAATGCTCGCAAATGTCATTCTTTATCTTGCGCTCCCACGCCGACCGGGTTGGAAACGTTTAAAGCAAACTTTTGCCATTCAGAAATTCTATTAAATTCTTATCGCAGTCAAACAGACTCTCTACCGACCCCTTTGTCACGCATCTAAGCTGAACTCCAGTTCGGCGTCAGCGTAGCATTTTAGCTGCTAAGACAACCCACCGCTCGCAGCCTCGACGATGATATAAATACCATCTCCACATGAAAGTACTGCAAATCGTAACTATAGTTCGGCAGAGAAATACCTCTAAACTGAGGAAACTTCCCAAATCCAAATACCTTGATTTGCAGTTTCTTTTCCCCTTTCTTTCAGGACCCGAGACAGCGCGTTTTAGCGCACTTCACAGCCGTTTTCAGTACCAAGGACAGGGTCTCTGGATTGCTGCATAGACACGGATTTCGAAAAGGGAAAGATCCAAAAATAAAGCAACCCCGGTGACACCATTCTTTTTGTATGCAAACGACTTAATTTCTAACTATGTCAAATTAATATATACTTATAAATATATATTCCCCCGCAAAAATGCGGTTTCTATAGTGTAAAGGAATTATTGCTTATCACGTTTTTTTGATTGCATATATTTAAATGCTCTAAAATATGTCCCTCGACTCTTTGAAGAGTTTAAGAGAGTAAACTCTAAGGTTCTGCATATTTAATGAGTATGAACGTCTTAGGTTACCAGCTGGAGTACTTTCTTTCTTTTTTTTTTTCAGTCGAGATAATGCCTACAGCCCCGTTTCAGATGAGTAGCCTCGTCTCTCCAGACTATAATTAGCGGCGTGACTATATTGTGACAGGATCCGACGTGCATAAATATTACATAGGATGCCAGCTGAGAGAATGACGCACCCCGACCTGGCTCGGTCCCCTGACAGATGGGACAAGCTGACGCAGTGACACACACAAAAAACTTTTCACAAGTCCGCGGGCTGTCCCCACGCTGTTGAGCCTCGAGTCCCAATAGAAACAGCGTCTTCTTTGTCTGTTCGTGTCTGGAGGGGATAAACGTTTAGGACGAGCACTCGAGAAGGTCAAAAGTAAACTACAACTTCGAGCGTTGCCCGTATCAAAGTTTCTTCCACAACTCATTTCAACCGCTGACACGTTTAAAAGAAATCGGTCTAATATCAGTGTGATTTGGTAATCTTTTTGAATCGGATTAGCGTTTAATTTATTCAAACAAATTTTAACCTGGTTTATTCACAGAATCCTTGGCCTACTATTTCTTAGACACGCTTGTTAAACATCAATATTAAAAATGAAACTATTTTAAAGTTTACATCAATGCGGATATTGGTTGCCAGTTTTCAAATATACTATGGTTAAAAATCCGAGATGCATAATTTCTGACTGTATAAAAATTACAATGCATCCATTGAACAGGTTATCCATTTAACAATGTTAAAACTTTCTAACAGTACGGAACAGAAGTACCAATATAATACAATGCATTTTCTATACAATTCATATAAATATAAGTCTTAAGAGTGAAATTTAACATTAGTGCTAAGTTTCTAAATCAAAGCTTTGAAAGAAACTTTCTAAGGCAGCTTTGGAACTCGGCAGCACGAAACGCGCAGGCGTAAACTGAGACGTGAAGAAAAGAAGTTAAGAAAAGAAAACGTTTGAGTACTAACCTAGAAAAGTTCCACAGAGCCTCATCTTTGCGGTGGTTTTTTTTCTGCAAACCACCATCAACTACTAAGAAGTTACTTAGTTCTTGCGAAAGTTGCGCGTGTAAGAAGACAAGTTACCAGTCAGGGCGGGGCTCACTTACTCAAACCAATCAGAGACAAGAAGTCAGTAGACGAGCCCGAGAAGCCACTTTTACAGCCAATCACGACCACACACCTCCCAAGCGTTCCTCAACAATGACCATTCAAAACAAACACAAAGGACATGTGGTCTACTATACTACTAAAGAAGAGAATCTCACTAAGATTTCTCATAGATACTTTTGTTAATGGCCTTACCACGAATTGACCCCAACTTAACTCAACTTTTAAAATGCTCTTCGCATAAAAAGCTAATGAAATACGTTATTATATAAATATTTGTAATATCGAAAATTGTGATTCTGAATATATTATTTTAAGTTTAATTAGGTAAAGAAATTACATTGAAGTAAATTATGCTCATTATCAAAATAGGTAACAAAGTATTGACATTGTATCCGTTTGTGCTTCCTTCCAGTTTCCGTGTCATTGTACCAGTCCATATGCCAACACAGTGTGTAACTCAGTGTGCTTGTCAATGTATCTACAGATAAAGTTACAGTCAATATTCAATTTAGAGCTAAGTGGCTTTTGGAGATGTTCCTCTGGGTCTGTGCATTGCCGTTCAACTTTCAGCTCAGGCAGGAGACAGAAGCACTGGCGCCAAAATATGCTTCCACAGACGTGTGGGAGATATACGTGCCAGGCAATTTCACAGAGACAAGCCAGCAGAAGGACAACGGACAGCACGGAGTCAGACATACGCAAACGGGCAAGTGGGAACTCAATCTGTCAAATCATAAAGCACCCTAATATACAGAAATAGTAATACTAATATACGCAACTAAATGTATTCATCTATCAATAAAAACTAACTCATCACATATTTCTGATGTTTATGCGTTTCAGAGTCCACAGCAGCCTTTTGCCCTATATTTCTTTGGATAGGCTCCAAGTCCTCACAACTCTTACCAGCACATGCAGTTAGAAGCTGGATAGACGGAGGAATAGATAGATATACAGTTTGAAGTCACATTATACATGTTACAGTTATGCTATAGGCATAGTTATAGCATACAAGGATGAGCTTTAGCAGTGATGGTGCTGGTAACTCAAAGCAGAGCTGTCACACAGTGGTGTCATAATAAAACTCTGCATGATGCAAGGAATGGAGAACAGCACAAACCCCAAGGCGCTAAAGTGTCACTGGGCTGTAGGGTACCATGTCTCTCATTTTCCCCAGTGCCCCTGCGGAACAACTCGGATGACATGTCAAAATGCCTCTCACAGGCCAAATCAAACCAAAGCTCGCTCTGCCTTTGTGAAATACTTGTTTGAGTCCCGGGTGGTGTGCAGACAGTACATGATTCCACCTTCACTGTCCTACAGCCAGGAACCCTGCTTGTTTTCTCTGGTTAAGTGAGCAAGTAGAATTCAAACATATTTTTTTATTTGTATAATTTACATTTCTGTTGATTGGTGGATTATTCCTTATTTGCCCTACATTTTATCACTTAAACAATGTTGATCATCTTTCTGTGGATTTACAGCTTATAGCAGTGAGGTTTCTCCTGAATGTAAACTTAGATATAGACTAAACAAATGTTCGTTCACAGTGTTAGCAAATCCATGTAAAAAGTCTTCCTCTGAATCGCATCAGCAGCACCAATTCCACTGGGTGTTTCTTCAGCCTCACCCCAGCTGTGAAATGCTTATATTTCATCGTTCTGGGGGGCTCCACCCCCTGTCGTCTCCGTGCTTCCTCCTCTCTTCCCCTCTCCTCTTCCTCGGCCGCTGTCTCCATGTGCTCTCAGCCGGGGTAGCTCCCGGCCCCAGTAAATGGTGGACTTTGCCCCGTTTGAATCTGCACAGACTGAGTGCCCCTATCGACAGATGGCCCTGCCAGATAATGACGCCCCGTACTGGTTGCCATGGCAAGGGGACAGGAGAGAGGTTGAAAGGGGCCAGGCACTCATTAGAGACACCGGCTGCCATGAATGGAATATCTGCACCAATCAGAGTACCGGCTTTCCCCACACCTCCGGTCCCCTTTCAGCCGAAAAAGCCAGGCACCCCCTAATATTCCTCATGCACACCAAATGCTCGTTAACCTATTAACTTTCAGTACAACCCTACCCCCCCTCCCCCCAAAAAAATCATCCACTCTCCAATGAAGGGGTTTCAAGCCACCCCCCCAACTTCCAACTCCCACAATAATTCCCCTAGCAACTCTGCCCGCCCCAGTCTGCCCTGTCTGGATTTTTGGAAACTGCACACTGGAGAGATGCGTTCTGGCCATTTTCCTTTTTAATTTGTCCTTTTTCCAGAATTGGTTAAAGTCTTGTTGGCCCACTCTTCCCTTTACTCCAATTTCACTATGCATTTTTGTTGTAAGACACTTTGAAATCATACAGGAAGTCAACAATACTGTGTAGCTGTAAGCCTTTATTATTGCTAATAAAAACATTTAAATGAAGTCCAATGCTGACTGCAGATTGCTTGCTGCAATCTGTGACCTCTTTACCCTGTTTAAAAGTTAACTTGGCAAATCTCAACACAACTCTGATATCACATTAAGTCAGGATGAGAAAATGGGCCACATCGCATCACTCAGAAACACGTTCTGTAACTACAATCATAAAGTAACTACAAGCCGCCATGTCAGTGGCATTAAGAGATTCGTTATCCTGCAACATGGCCGTCGCTGCTTTTTTGGTGTTTTTGCGTCAGCAGCTGTCCTGCCGTCTCAGGTTCCTCAGGGACGCCGGTCCGGTCGACTCGTGCGGACCGTGTTCCACACAAAGGTGAAGTTGCAGTAATTATCCTGCGCACAAAGCGACTGCGCACAGATGGGAGGCTGTTTGTGCTTTCACACTGCTCCGCGCCCCGCAGCCGCTCATGATGGCTTCATTATTGTGCCCAGACCCCGTTATCAGTCAGCTGCAGCGGGACTCCAAACACGGCCACATAAAGAAACATTCAGCCAAAATATATGAATGACAGGGAAAAAAGATCATAAACCTATTTAGCACAAATGCATCTGATTTTGTTTTTACTCATCAGTTTTCACAAGAATTCCTTAAGAGAAAAATGATGAGGTAACAACAGTGCTGTTAGACTTCCTGTAGCTGCAGAAGTAGTTTATTGTGCTAATAGCCTAAAGGTTGTGGGTTTGAGTCCCAGGGAGTGCACATAAATTACGACCCTTCTCTCTTCCGTAAGTTGCTTTTCATAAAAGATTCAGATAAATTAAATAGTTGTTTTCAAATAAAACACCTCAGTGTTGTGATTCCTGAGGCTGGGATTTTCGGGAAGGGAAAAATCCAGGAAGAACAAATCAAGTCAAGTTGGAGCATAACGCGGTTTGTCTGAGGACACAAGGCCAGTGATCCTTGTCTGTCTGAGGGTAAACTCCACCTCTCAGCACCCTCCCCGTTCCCCCCTCCCAATGAAGCAGCAAGAGGAGTGAATAAAGACCCTGCCGATGGTAGCTAGAAGCCCCCACTTCACAGACAAGACCTCATTACAATCACAAAAGCTGCCACACTTTGGGGCGAGGCCAGAATGCATGGGCTGTCGGGGGACAGGCTGTGTGTGTGTGTGTGTGTGTGTGCGTGCGCGCTACTGCGCGTGTGTCCATGTGCGAGTGCGTGTGAAAGAAAAGCCCTGGTTTCAGAGGCCAGCTGTCACTGTGGGTAATATCAGCCTGGCCTGCTTCCACTGTTTCCAATTATTTATTTATTTAAGGCTGCTCTGCGGGCAGGAAAAACCGACGGAAAAAGCTTGGTAATCTCAAGTATTAAATCAAACCAAACATGCACTTTCAGAGTGTAAGCAGTGAGAAAGTCAAAGCATTTTTAAGAGACAGGGGTTTTTAAGCGTCCGTGTTTCCGTGCCAATAAATTCTCTGTCATGGTGAATTATGAAAGTATGAATTAGCTCTGTGAATTGGCAACCATATAACTGCTGCCTCATCTAAATATTAATGGTTCTCAAAAATGTAAAATTCAATGTTAACTTTCGGTAAGTTATTTAATAGGAATCACAAAGAAGTTACTGCCAATGTTATGATTGTTTTCTCTCTCTCATTCTGTTACTTGCTGCAAACAACAACAACAACAAAAATCAATAAACAGTACTATTAGGCATTAGTTTACTTTTGATCTAAGATTCAATCCGCAAAAAACTGCAAGTAGAATTTAAATTCATTTCTAAATCCACCTTATATTGCAGATTGAAGGAAAAAAAATCCCAAAAATTATATGTTGAAACATCCCAAAAGGAAAAAAAACATAATCGAAAAAAATAAAACCTGCAGTCAGTGCTGCAGCATAGACCTGCAGTTAAGCCCAATAAAATCAGCCTAGCAGATGCCCCCCAAGTAAATGTGGCTTGTCTCAAGAGGTGAAGAGAGGCTTGTCGCATGAATAAGGGTACAAAGCACCCCCATCTCCAGTCTGCTCCCTCCCCATTCCAATCAGACCCAAAGCTCCCCCTTGCCAGACCCCCTCCTCCTCCTTCATGAAAAGGCTCTCGCTTTCCTCGACAGTCTCCTAATGCTTCTCTCCAGCTCCCCTTCCATTGGACCCCTCCGCTGCTGCGGCTCTGATATGAAGGGAAATAAAGCAGCCAGATGAGTTAATAAAGTCAGGAATTTCCAAAGCCGTGAGCTGTAAGCAGAGAGCTGCGGAATCTGCCGGCGGTCGTGACGCCACGCGGCACATTCCGGATGCCGGCGGCCAAAGTGGGCACATAGCTGGTGAGCCTGGGTGGCCGATGATGCCCCCGAACACCACCCCCCCCCCCCCCCCCCCCCCCCCCCCCCCCCCCCCCCCCCCCCCCCCCCCCCCCCATCCTCCATTCATCTACCGCATCCACTGACCCTGGCAGTTAGCAGAGAGAGTGGAAGTGGGGGGGGGGGCAAGCAGCTGATGAGATGGATGGATTGCGCAAGACATCTGTATGCAAATTACAGGGGTGGGATAGAACAGTGGGAGGCTGAGGCTGGGGGTGGGGGACGAGGGACGAGGGGGGGCTCAGGAATGTCTCTGGGCTCTTTCTTAGCATCGCCTCCTCTGATGCCAGGCTCCTCTAAATGCTTTATTTCCGCACAGTGCCGTGAAGGTCATTTACCTGGATCTGGCCGTGATCTCGATATTAGAATCAGATTCTTTTTTGAAGTGTCCAGACATATCTGCGTGTGGAGGAGTGTGTGTGTGTTTGCCTGCTCTTCACCTGTGCTGCGTGTGGAGGAGTGTGTGTGTGTGTTTGCCCACTCTTC